GTCGTGTCATTGTATGTATCTCAGACATACCATTTCTTTTAAGGGAAACCAGGGAACTGGTTATAGAACAATGTGTGGAGTCACCTTCTTTTTAAGGGAGGCTGAGGCAGAGTAATTCTGAAACAGATTTCTGAGAAAAGTAGTTAAACTATGAAATTGTACCTTCTTCATAGTGTATTAGTCTAGATCAACCTGGTTTATTTAGGTTTTCCTTCCTGTAAGCCTTCTGGACTAAACCAGAAAAAGTTAGCTTTACTTAGTTGTACACTAAATTTGTTGACCAGGAGGTCTTTTTCCAAGAGCTGCATAGTAAAGGAAAGCTTGCGTTACCTGTTTGATACTGTGTACTTTTCTTTGTTTGCTTGATAAATTCTAAAGTAGGCCTCCTACTCAAATCATTATGGCTAATTTTGTTTTCAACAAGTATTGAATAGAACCTTTTTCTTTCTTTCTCACAACCATCAGTAACTGAGTCTTTTAATTTACTGCTTTGTCTGTGCACTGGTGTCTTAGTTCTCATCTGGGATGTTTTTTCAAGAAAATTTGCTTGGGAACTGATCATACAGCTTCCATTTGGAATGAAAAAAAAAAACCCACTGCTTTTATTGCAACTACTGCAATTATTGTAAATCGAAGTGTTGAAATAAGAACTCAAGTGCACATATCTTGGTGTGAGCTGCATGATTTTAAGAGATGCTCTTCATTTCACGCTGGTGGGGTGGCTGATACCCCTCTGCCCTGTGACATTGTCATGAGGAGAGAGAGCCCTGTTTATGTGGTGTGAGTCAAAGTGTCAGATCTTGACTCCCTTTTAGCAAGTCTGGTTTTACTAACTCAATTTATTTTTCCTTTTGTCCTTTGTCAATTGTTAATATAAATCCTGATGTTTAGATATCTGTGTGCCCAAGCCTGCCAACAGATCAGGTGCCGGTATTATTTTTAGATATAAAAAAGATGGGATTTGTGACTGCAATTAACACCTGCTGCAGGAACACATGTATGACTAATTGCAGAGACAAAAAAGGATCATGGAGGCCACTTTAAAAACTCAGTCTCTTGAGTGAGGAAGAACATAGAAATCATTGGATGGTCACATATCAGTTAAAAACAGATGGATTTATAAGAATAGGAAGCTCTCCAGCAAACCTCTTCATTAAGCTTTATAAACTTTCATAATTACCCAAGCACACAACTTAAAAAGGGATGTTTTCACAGGGTATGGATAAACAAGGTTTAGAACAAAAATAGCATACTGCATAAAACCACATGCTGTTTTCCTAAAGTCAGTATTGGAAAACATCAGCATGAACTGTCAGGTGTCAGCCAGGGAGACGCCAGTCTTGGTGCCAGTGTTGGCAGCCTCAACTCACAACATGCAGGTATGCAGCACATTCCCTTAGCAGCAAGCAACAGTTTCTGCCACCATGGAGATTTCTTCAGGGTGCAAGAGTCCTGGTGGGATACAGATCTGCAGCTTTGTTGTTTCTGGTAGTTGCAGAAATTATTTTATTCTCACTTTTTCTGGAGGCCAACATAGATAAGATCGGAGAGCAGAAATTGAAATGAGCTTTCAATGGAAATGAGATCGTATGAAGCCACAGAACAATGCAGTCACTCCTCCATTGGTGTTCTCTCCTGCTCCCAGAGCTGAAACCATCAGCAACAAGGAGGCATATTACAAACACACCATCTGTCCTGCAACCCTTAACACAAGCTCTGTGCCACCTTGATTAGGAATGATTTTAATGGATCATTCCTGCAGGGCAATTCTTGTAACCTTCCCAACTTTGAGGTTTTCTATTTCTATTCCTATTACTGGTATAAGATTTATAGGGATTTATTATTTTTATTTTCTAACCATCTTGACTCATAGTAAGCCGAGGAGGAAAATCCCTTTATATTTTCAGGAAAGAGGAATACGTATTTAACATATTTGCTACACGGTGTACATCCTTCATGAATTAATCATTGAGGGGTGTATGTGTATTTGTTTACCAGGACTGGCTGGATAGTCATTAAATCAGTGCTAGAAACTTGCTTCTTGCCCTGGAGCATTATGCATCAGGACTGTTTTAATTGCAGATGGAGGAATCACCATGAGGCTGTCCCTAATGCAAGCACCTGCTGCAAATGATTCAGTCCCCGCATTACCCTCCAGCAGGGTCCGGGTACATCTGCCAGTACCTGTCATTATCTGAGGCACACTTGTCAAAACCATGCATCCCTTTAAGCTCTTGTGTGTCCCAGCAAGGGACCCTTGTCAGTGTTTCTGGCACCTGCAGACTGCTGTGCACCTGGTATTTAAATGGCACAGAGATGTGTTTTGATTGTTTTCTCTCTTTAATGAACCCACCCACGGGACATTTAGCTCTTTATCTAGTAGCCTGTTACCCAGTCACTCACATTTACACTGCTCATGTGGAAATCAGAACTCACTTGTGCTGTTATACTAATCCATCTGCCAGAAGTCTTATCACAGAATCTGCAGGTCTCCCTAAGGAGACTTTTGTACTGGTAATTTAAGCTAATGATTTCTAAACATATTTAGTCAGTTTATGAAGACCTCATTAGAATGTGACTGTTTATTAAAAATCTAAATGAGGTCTCGCAGTCATTTAGAAAAATCATTGCTGAGTTGCATGAACAGTTCTTTGATAACGGATGATGAAGTGGTTTTTACTTAAGATTGGCCTAGGTTGACATAAGAACTTTCATAAAAAAACTAAAAAAGAAGCGGCCATTGAAGCAGCCCTGAAAAAAGTCTCTGTCTTCTTCATGCTGGGGTCAGCAACTTTCCACTGACAATGAAGTTCACAAAAAGGGAATGACAGGTAATTAATGGCATAATATGCCTGCATTTTAGTGCAAGAATAAGAATTTTCCAAACTACAATACTAACAGGTAAAAAGCAAAACTAAGACTCATAAAAATATATCAGTGTGGCCACAAGCTATTTCAAAATCATGTATTTTGGATTATATTAACGCAAGAGGCCTCCATGCTCATGTTTCTAAGTGGTAGAGCAACTGAAGACAGTAGTGTAATTTCAGGCACCATTTTTACCTGAGAGATTTAGCATAATCTGGTGTATTATTCTAGAAGAAACAAAACTTTTTGTCCCACCAGTGTAGGCGTGATCAGAAAACAGACACAAGAGACCATCTTGCTTATTCCAAGAGACTGCTCTGGAGTACAGACTCCAGGAAACAGGGCTGGATCCTTCTGTGGAAAGCAATGGGAACTGGATCAAGGTCTTTATGTATTGGCCAAAGTCTCAAGTTGCTTCTTGAGTGTTTCAGTTTTTGCACACATTGAAACATTTCTTTCCTCCTTAAAGACTTATTCTGGGAAGATACAGAATGTATTCAGTTGTGCCAGCTAGCTGTCACCTCCATCTTTGCTCTTTTTGGGCTGGTACCAACACTTGATTGGCAGAATCAAACTTGACGTGTCACATCATTTGTCATTTGTCAGTAGACACTTTCTCTCCCACTCCTTGCTTTTGCTTGAGGCAGGAGAAATTTAGTAATATCTGATTAATAAGTGGTGAAATCCACTGATGAAATTCAGTGGAGGTGGTTGATACATAAGTGCGCTGCAAGGATTAATGATTGTCTATCATGCTTTTAATATAACAAAGTATTTACAAAAAAAAATCACTAGAAATAATTACAAAAAATAAAACCTCACCCCAGGAGCATAGTAATTACAGTAATTAGAGTTTTGCAATTACTATCCAGAATTAGAAAACAGCCAGTGCTAATAGTGTTAATAAGCACACAAAAGACCCTTTTTTTGAAAGGAGTCAATGTTGACTACAGCAGAATAGATGTGACACAAACAAGGGAATGAAGGTCAGCCACAGACTGGTAAATAGCTCCTATTCCTGCACGCCTTACCACTACCGAAACAGCCTCTCACTGCTGTCTTACCTCTCAGGGGTGTGGGGCTTTCCCTATAGCCATCTCACACTCCTCCTGGGTGACTTTCTCTTCCCAGGAGCCAGCAGGGCTGTACCTGAATAGGGAAAATGAAAGAACAGTGGTGGCTTAGCTTTTCCTTTGCTTGTTTTACTGGACCTGTGGTTGATGTGTTACATACACGGCACTCTCATCTGCCTTGCTGCAAAAATGTTGATGGCTCCATGTTTTCATCTTTAAGAGAGTATTGAGGTCCACATGACAGTGGGGAGACCCATACAATGGTCTTCTGACAGAGGTGGAATATCTCCTTGCTGCTGGATGGCTAAAAAGCATTCCCTGTTGTAAGATAGAATCTGTCAGAAAAGAGTTGTTCTTCTCAGGAAAGACTGAAGGGCCCCAGCCCTAAGCCAGCATATGTACATGTGCTTGGGCCTTCGGTGTTCAGGATGTGCAGCCTTGGTCAGCACTCAAGAGTCATTTCTAAAACAGATACAAATATGTTTCTTTAACAAACAAAACTCAGAAGTCTTTATGTTGAACCTGATTTTCTTCAGATCCACCTGATGAT